CCGGGAAAGCGGGACCGGGAGCTCCGGGATGGGGGATGTGTGCTCTGGAGCAGGGGCTGTGCTGCCTGGGCCGGGGATCCCCGGGACCGGGAGCTCCGGGATGGGGGATGTGTGCTCTGGAGCAGGGGCTGTGCTGCCTGGGGTATGTTCTGCACCCAGAGGAGCCCCCTCACACCCCAAATATCGGGTGTTTTATGGCCCCTGCCAGGACAGCAGATCCTGCACCCAAGGGAAACCCCACCCCATGACCCCACTCGGCAGGGTCGGTCCTGCTCCCACCCCCTGGGTGCTCCCCCAGACTCTGCTCACGCCGGTGTTTACTGAAATCCCAGAACCCTCCTAAATTAATGCAGAATAAACCACACAGGAATTCCCCCTGCAACACCCGGGCACCCCAGAACCAGAGCGAGCCTTGGGCTACTTCCATTACTCTGCACACGGGGAGACCCTCAGGGTGGGGGGCTGCAGGATATTCTGAGGAGGGGAGGATGTGATTGAGAGGGGAACAATTCCTTCCCGGAGTGTATCCTGGACTCAGCAGAGTCCCCTCTCCAACACAGGGTGTGAAAGCATCACATCCTGCACCTAAGGAGAGACACCCTCAGCAGAGCACAGGGTGCTAAGGGTGAGGATTCTGCACCTGGAAAGACCCCCAGGATGAGGGGCTGCAGGCTGCTGTCCCCCCTGGAGGAATCTTCCTTCCTGGGGTGTATCCTGCACCAGGGGAGCCCCCCACACGCTTCGTACAGAGTGCTAATGGGTTACATTCTTCATCCCTCTCCCCACCTGAGGGGCAGGCTCTGCACTGGGATGTGCTACAGGGCCACATTCTGCACCCTTTGGAATCTCCATCCCGCAGCATGGCTGGGTCCCACACTCAGGGGACATCTCCTTCCCTTCCTTCCGGTACAGATCCTGCATCCCAGGATCCCTCACCCCTCTCCACGTTGTCCTGGGACACCCAGCCCCACCCCATATCCTGCAGGAAAAGATGCTGCATCCCAAAGACTCCCCACAAACACCCCGCAGGGTGGGGGGGGCTGTACCCGAGGGATTCCCCCTCAAAAACTCATCCCCCTGAGGATGGGGTCACATCCGGAACACACTGACCCCCTTTTGCTGTACCTGATGCCACAACCATCACAGAACAGGGTCCTACACTGGGACCCCTGCCAGGACAGATCCTGCACCCAGGGTAACCCCACCCCACAGGGTCAGCTCCTGCCCCCAGCATCCCTGGGTGTCCCCCAGACCCTGCTCACTCTAGTGCTTGGTGAAACCCTGGAACCCCCTCAAATTAACGCAAAATAAACCACATTAAAAGTCCCCCACACATCCAGCATGGCAGACTAATTACATTAATTATACTAATTAGGGCAATGGAGCTGGGGGGGGG